GGGCTGGGGTGCCGGCCTGGGGCCCTGCTGGGCGGGGGGAGGCGCCTCTGGGATTTGGCTGGATGACCCGGCGGTGATGGGAGGGAAGGAGGCCATTTGCTGAGACCAGAGATGGGGAGAGAGGAGAGGAGGGGCTGGGAGCGAGCAGGAGTTGTGGGGGACAGTGCTGGAGGGAGTGGCCATGGGGAGGGCGCCCCGAGTCAGGGCCACCCGGGCCTTCTGGGGGTGAGATTCAGAGAAGGAGGGTGCGTGTCCTGAGCCACGCACGGGGCCTTGGCAGCAGCAGCCTCAGGACCAGGCGAGCTCCCTGCCTCGGGGCGAGTGTACACAGCGCTCCCGCGTGCTGCACCGTTTCCGGAGCTGGGCAACAGCTGGGAGCAAAACAGGCACGCCCGGCCGCGTGGGTCCTTCCCAGATGAGCGTGGAGCACGAGCGGACAGTGAGGGCTCAGAAGGGCGACCGGCCGGCCGGCTGGACAGCCGGGCACTCCTGAGAGGGCGGGGCAGGGGAGGGGGAGCCGCCGAGGGGCGTGGCCTCTGTGTGGCAGAGGAGCCCCAACTGCAGGCCTGCACCTGCAGGGTCAGAGGCGGTGACGTCGGGCCCAGTGGCGATGGGCACGGGGTGAGGGACGTAGAGCAGGCCAGACGTGAGGCGCTACAGGCCAGAGACACGGGCTTCTGAGTGTCGCACGCGGGCACACTCCCGTGGGGTCCCTTCCCTGGCATGGCCATCGCTGGCAGTGGGATTGAGTGTCCGGCAGAGAAGACCACACTGCAGGCTGGCTCTCTCTGGTGCCCTGGGCCTGGGCACGGCCTCTGTGACGTCACAGACTGGGTTCCAGCCCTGACTCTGCAATGCCAAGGGCGAGGCTTCTGCACAAGTGGCCTGAGCAAAGGCCTGACCAAAGCGGGTGACTTGCCGGGCGCGATGGCTCACGCCTGTAATTCTAGAACTCTGGGAGGCCGAGACAGGAGGATCCCTTGAGCCTAAGAGTTCAAGACCTGCCTGGACAATAGTGACACGCCATCCTACAAAAAAATTTTTTTTGATCAGCTGGGCATGGTGGTATAGCCTGTAGTCCCAGCTACTCGGGAGGCTGAAGCCAGAGGATGGCTTGAGCCCAGGAGTTTGAGGTTGCAGTGAGCTATGATCACGCCACTGCACCCTACTGGGGCAACAGAGTGAGATGCTGTCCCAGAGAAAAGGCAGAAGGGAGGCGACTTTAACTGAGTCTTGAACACTGACCAGGAAGGAGCACGGGCATTCCAGGCAGAGGGAACGGCAGGTGCAGATGCTCACAGAACTCTACGTACACCTTAGTGCCACGAGCATGAGTGAGCCCGAGCCAGCTGTGCCCGGGTGCTGGCATGCCGGGAGAGAGCAAGGGCAGCAGTGGGAGGGGCCCTGGCGGCCTCAGGGGGGCTGCGTGCCCACCTACAGGAATAGGCTGTACACATCCCCTAGAAGGTCTGAGTGGGAGAGCAGTGTGGCCAGGTGTGTGCTCTGCAGCCCCGGAGGCCATGAAGACAGCGTGGCCCAGCTGGGCTGTGGCCGTGGCGGGGAGGAGGTGGCCTGCAGCAGACATGGGCTACGCAATTGCATCTGAAGCGCGGTGACCTATTGAACGTGGCAGAATGGACCCAGTGAGGCCAGGGCCCTGGCCTTAGAAGCTGGCGGGTGACTGGCACTGGGCAGGGCTGGGTGAGCTTCCGGAGGGCGGGGTCACACCTGCCGTGCGGAGCCCAGGTGCGCCTGATGAGCCATCGCTTGGGAGACTCCGCAGTCCTGTGATGAGCGGCGGCGGCGGCGGGAACAACACCTGGACTCTTGCTGGTGCCTCGTAACAGTGCCCGCAGCAAGAGCACGCGGGGTAGACAGGGCGCCCACGGCGAAGAGAGGCGCCAGCCCTGAGGCCGCAGGCGCGCCAGGCCTGGCAACGCCAGCGGGCGCCACGCGGCTCTGCAGGCGGAGAGACTGCGCGTCCCCAGCTGAGGCCGAGGCGTCGCTGGGCTTCCCTCCTTTCGAGGCCCGTGATGGAGTCGCTCCACTCGGCTGGTTCGCTCTGACACACCTGGATTGCAGAAGGAATAGGGGCAGACATTCAAGCCGCATCAGAATCACAGCGAGTTCAAGTCCGCGTTCTGACGGGGATCAGCCCTGGGCGGGTCGCTCAGCGGCTGCTGGTGGCAGTCCTCCCTCTACAGAGCAGACTTGAGGAGCCGCCCGCTGCCCGGAGCCGTGCGAGGGCGGCCCAGAGGCGAAGGGCTTGGCGTGTGCGTGTGCGCAGAGTGGGCCCGGCCAGTGCGGCTCTTTCTCAGGACTGGTGAAGACACAGCGCGCTGAGTGCACGGCAAGGGCAGCCGCTGGGCGACAGAGCTGGGGTGACCCACAGCACCCCTGTAAGGCAGGAGTCTGGACTCTTGCTTTAAAGAGTGGGGAAACTGAGCCTCAGAACAGCTTTGGAACACACGCGAGGCCACGCAGCTGTGGACAGCGGGCTCTGACAGGAGCCAGGCCTGCTGGTCCCCAAGTTCTCCCCCCTTTAAAATGTTATGGGGGGTATGGCTTTACACATGGGACACTGGAGCAAGGGCATGACAGGGCGGCCAGGGCAAGGAGGCAGAGGCCACACCCGGCCGCAGCCCCACCTCCTGGCCCTGGGCGTCCACACCCACTCCGCAGGCACCGCAGGGTCCTGGCCGGCCTGTGCCAGCTCCCGACGTGGCGGGAGGACTTCCCAGGGACCCCAAGGCCCAGGCTCCTCTCAGGAACTCAGGAGGCTTCACTGTGTCACCAACACCCCTTCCCCGGGGCACCGGCAAGCCCCACAAAGTAACACAGACCCAAGACAGTGGATTTGGGGCCTCAGTTACAGAGTCGCTGAAACTTACTAAAATGCACACGGACGCACAGGAGGGAAGCGAGAAGGAATGCCGGTTCCCGAGACGGAAACGGACAGTGTGGGTCGTGGGCTCGCTGCAAAGGCACGTGCCAGGCTGCTGTCGCCTGGGACCCAGCCGAATCCTCCAGGCTTTCTGACGGAGCCCTGTCACAGCTGAGGGAAACTAAGGCTCACCCAGGTGCCTGGCTGCAGGCAGGGTGGGAGCCCAGGTCTGGCTGGCTCCATGGCTGGAGGCCATGGCCCGAGTTTCCTGGCCTCACTGTTAGGAGATTGGCCTGGTCTCTGCAGAGAGAGGAGGCCGAGGCTGGACTCTGTCCTGCAGGCCTCCCGCCCCCCGCATCCCACCCTCTGACCCCAGAGCAGACAGAGGTCCTTCCTTGACTGCCCAGGCCTGGAAGATGAAGGGGGAGCCCTGCCCCGTCCTTCGGCCTGCCCCTGGCACCGCCTGAGGCCCGGCACCCTGGAGCCAGAAAAACTGTGTGCTGGGCACACTTGGCACCTCCCACGTGGGGCCGGTGCTCGGCATTCCCTCCACCCGGAATGGCCTCTGTCTTCCTGTAGCCACAGACCCCCACAGTCCCCAATGCTGGCCACATGCCATGCAGCTGTGTCCAGCAAGGAACCAGGAACCCCTCCAGATACCTCACGCGGAGGGAATTTAACAGAGGGAATTAATTGCTCACAAGGCATTGGAAGGGCCAGAGGAGCAAAGGGGAAGGGAGGAGCACCTCAGAAGTGGCCAAGGACAGCAGATGCCACCCTGGGGCTGGAGGAGGGAGGGAACAGTGTGGTCCCTGCTCAGGACCTCTGGCCTCTGTTTGTCCTGCTTGGCCTGGCTCACCTGTCCTGAGCCAGGTGACACTTGGAACCCAGCCACTCTTGGCCTCCAGGGGACGGCGGCTGCCGTGGAGTTGGTGTCCTGGAAGGCACCTGCCGGGGATCAGGCAGGGCCACCACCCAGCGCTGCCGTCTCAGGGCTGTCACACCTGCTCTCTGAGCCCCAGCGCAGGGAGACAAAGTGAGGTCTCCCATCCACTGCCAGGTTCCTGGTGGAGACCCTACAACAAAAGACAGTACCGAGAGAAAAGCATAGCAAATTAATTTGATAGCAGTTTTACGTGGCCCAGGAGCCTTCAGAAATGAAGACCCAAGAAGGAAGGTTGTGTACTTTTCTGCGTGGGTTTGAGGGAGAGGGGACAGTCTCGCAGACGTGTGATTGGAGGACACGGGGGTGTGATCTGATGGGAATAAACTGGGGGCAGCTTCGTGAGGACGTTCGTTCAGGTTCTTCCGGCCTCCCTGGGTGACATTCCTTCCCTCCAGGGGTGGGACAGGACACTGGTCACATGAGGGTCTCCAAGGGGAAGGAGGGAGGTGGTCAGAGGGCCCTTCCTAGGACTTGGGCCTGCTTCAGGGAGGAAGGGGAAGGTGCTTCTGCTGCTCCTCCATTTCTAAGATGTCATAATTTCGTGGCGCTTCCTGCAGCCCTCCCCTAACTCCTGATTTGGAGATGGAGTTATGAAGCCCCGCCCGGCACAGCGGGGCCGGGTGTGCACAGATGAGCCCGCCAGAGCCGCTCCTCCCAGGTCTGGGGCACAGACCCAGGGCCCTCTCACCCTCCCGGCCCCACCCGCTCCTCCTAGGGCCCATCCGCCTCCCTGAGCAGGCCTGTCCCTGCGCCTGTCCTCCTCTGCGCCGTGCTGCTGTCCTTGGCGGGGCCCAGGCCTGGCCTCCTCAGGGCTCCCTGAGACACCTGTCTGGCCACACCCTTTCACACACCCTCCTCCTCCGTCCTCCCAAACGCCCCAGCTGCCCCCACAGGTATTGTGAAGCCCCTGCTGTGTGTCAAAGGCTCAGACACCTCCTCTGGGAGGACCCTAGATTTCACCCTGGAGAACCGCTGGCCGGGGGCGGGAGTGGCTCTCCCGCCCAGGCCTCCCCGGCGTGGGCCTGCACCCCACAGTGAGCACAGGCCTGTGCTGTGCCGTGCAGGCTGGCCGCCCCAGGGAGGTCAGCACAGCGGGGACACCCACTCTTGGCAGCGGCTCCGTCCCGAAGGTGCCACTGAACCTTTGCTTCTCTCTTTTCTGTCCTGCAGCTCTATGCGTCATCTGACTTGGGGAAGAAATGGACGCTTCTGCAGGAGCGAGTGACCAAAGACCACGTGTTCTGGTGAGAGCACTCCCCACCGGGCCCCCGGAGCTGGCGAGGGCAAGGTCAGCCCGAGGGCCAGCGGCTCCCTGTTGCTCCTCAGGCCACCAGCCCGGGTCCCACCTCCTGCTGCCTTGTCGCCTGCCCCTCACCCTCCTCATCCAGGGACCTCCAGAGCTGTTCTTTCTGCTGCACTTGGGCGGTATCAGAAATGGTGACGAGTCCGGGCATTGGTGTCCCTTAGGCCGTGTTTGTACCTGACCCAGCTGTGTGGTTTTCCACGGCCAGTATTCTCTCCTGCAGCCTCCGTTTCCTCCTCAGCTGGAAGAGGTGCTGATGTGCACAAGCGCGGCATGGTGCCTGGCGCACAGTGGGCCCACTCCTCCTCACCTCCCTCCCCCCACCCAGCCCCGGGCCCAGCCCCTGACTAGCTGCCCCTCCCGCCTTGGTGATGCCTGGGCTCCCCTCCCACTGCCCATCTGTCACCCTGCTGGGCCTGTGGGGTGCCCCAGACATGCCCCCCAGCCCACTGAGCAGCCAAGCCAAGGAAAGGGATGAATGCAGGTGGGGTGGGGGCTCCCAGCCCAGCAAAGGCAAGCCAGGTCCTGAGTCCAGACCAGCCGGTGTTGGCTCCTCACTTCTGTCTCGTGGGCGGCATTCTAGTCTCATTGCACCACCCAGGAAACTGAAGTTTCCTCAAGCAGAGTTTGCTGGAAGCATAGGTGAGGCTCGTGGAGGAAGAGCCTTGCCGAGGTCCCAGGCTGCAGGACGGGAGCTGGGAGCCTAGAGCGGCTGGCCCCGAGCCCACGTTCGCGCACCCCCAGCTGCGGCCAGGGCTGAACTGCCTTTCGGGATGCACCCCGTCACATGCGTGCTCTGCCCACCGCATCCATCTTTCTTGTGCATGCACACACACTCATACACACATAAACACACACATGCACACACATGCCTGCCCATTCCTGCCCCTTCTCTTCCTTGTCTCATCTGTGCAACAAACTATTACACAGGCCCCTGGGCCAGCCTCAGCCTTGTCTCTCCAGCAGAGAAGCACCATGGAAGGGCCCCCCCCGCCCCCCGCGACACACACAACTTCAAGCCAAGCGCAGCCCGGGACTTGTTCCTGACATCCCGCAGGCTAAGCGAATCTTTGTCTCTCCTCTGGAATGTTGACCTGTGCATGTGCCCTTTGCTCATGGGGACGTGTGATGGCTGTGTCTCCACGGGCTGCCCGCGGGAGGGTCCAGTTCCTTCCTCGGAAACCAGAGTGCTGCCATCAATCACTGGCCTGGTCACTGCTGTCAACTGCCAGGAGCCAGAGCTACCCAGCAAGGGCACGCTGGGGCCCCGAGGGCTCCCGGGAGGTGGGATTTCCGAGCCCTGGCAGAGCTCTGCGTCCAGCCCCAGCCCAGCCATGCTCTCAGAGATCTCTTCAGCCAGAGAGAAACCGGCCCGCAGATGCTAAAAGGGAAATTGGCCGTAATTCAAACATGTCATTGGTTCAGGCAAATCAAATTATTTCTTCCCCAAGTTTCTCAAATTGCCCAGAGCTGTTGTGCGTGAGAGATAGTCATGCCAGGCGCGGCCGCTTGGCCCTGGGATCTCTCCTGGGACGTGGTGACAGCCGCGGTGGCGGGGCCTGTTGTAAGCAGTGAATAGCGCTGTTTTGACAGCGCTTCCAAAGAGCTCTTTGTCCTTGGACTGACGGCAGGAGTTGCCACAGCCCGTGTTCTGTCTGAATCCTGGGCTCATTAACGTTCTGCGAAGCCAAACAACCGGCGCGCATTAGACGGGCTTGAGGGCGGGCGGTGGCGGCCCGAGGTGCTCTGCTGCCCCCGGCCACGTGGGCTCTTGCCCACCACCTCCCCTTAGTCTGTCCACAGCCTGGGACAAAATCCTAACAGTGGCCCCAGAGCTGCCGCGTTCTGAACGCTACCCGTCCCCAGGCGGTGGGCGGAGAGTCTGAACCCATTGTCCCGTGGAATCCCGTCCAGCCCGCGCACATCTGCCCCTCACGTCACGGGGGGAAACTGAGGCTTGGAGCAGCTGGGGCGCCGCTGTAGGTCGCGCTGCCCTCAGCAGTAGCCCTGGGCAGCGGCTCGCGTCTGGCAGTGCCCAGTGGCCCCGCCTGCAGTCCAGCTGCTGCCGTCGCCTGGGGCTCCTTCATCCCTCAGCCCCCAGCCCCGCTCACCATGGACAGCCTGCGCCTCCTCTCCGCCAGCCCGTGCCGCCAGGGGCGCACGTGAGGCCAGGGCCTCCCTCAGGAGAAGGAGGGGCCTTCCGCCCCCCCTTGGGACCCCGTCTCTGAGGGTCACCAGGCTGCCCTCTGCACGAGCTGGGGCGAAAGGCGGTCTCCGCACCCCAGAGCTCCTCATGCTCTCCGGGCTGCCCGCCTGGGGCCATCGTGGACCCGTCATTTCTAAACGCTGCTCCAGAGCCGGGCCAGGTCACCTTTGGAGGCCTCAGCAAACAGGAAGGCGTTCGTGTCGGCAGGTGTCGTTTCCTGCAGGGCTCCGGGCTCTGAGGGCAGCTCACGGGTCTGCCGGGGCTCCGGCCGGGTGCTGGGCTGGGGCCTCCTGTACTGCCGTGCCCACCAGAGCCTTCGCAGGCCCCTGCGACAGGGCGCGGGAGCGTGGTCAGTGGACGTTTGTGGGCGAACGGCGAGGGGCGAGCGAGTGGCGAGTGAATGAGCGGACGGGTGAGTGGGCGAATGAGCCAGCGAGCGGCGAGCTGGGGCACAGGCCAGGCATCTTTAGCCCACTTGCGGACGATGGGTTGTCAGGCTGAAACTCCATCTGCCCGGCTGGGCCTCCTGGTAAAGGGAACAGTGTCTGTCTGTATTCAGAAGAGAGACATGTCAAGCGGGAGCCCTCCCTTCCAAGGCCTCACAAACGGTCCATTCACAAAAGCCTAAATCGGCACTTCACCTTGAGGTTGAGAGCTGTTTCCCGAGAGCGAGCGACCGATGCCGGCGTCCAGGGTTTGGAATGCCAGCGGACTTCGGGAGCTGGCTCGCGCCACGCTGTGCATCTGTGTCGCGCAGACCCACTTACGGGTTTCCCCCGTCCCTCTGGCTTCACCTGGGGCCACCTGGTAGACCAGGTCCCTGAAGGAGGTGAAGCGAGTGGGGGCTGGGCGCCAAGCAGGCGGGAGAGACACCGAGACTGTCAGAGAGAGGGCAGGGCCAGGGCGGGCACGCCGCCCGACGTCTCTGCAGCCTGCACACGGCCACAAGGAGGCTCCCAGCGCTCAGTGGCCGGTGCCCGGGCAGTGACTTCCTCGTCCATGAGAGGGCTGCTCTAGTGGGCGGTCAGTGGTTTTCAGCGGGCACCTGGGCTGGAAGGTACATGGCAGCAGACATGCGGCCGTCGCAGCCGTGCGCCCAGGCAGTCTTGTCAAGAGGAGGCTAAGCAGAGGGACACGCTCAGCAAAGACAGTGGCAGGCAGACACATGCATGCAGTGACATCCGGGAGCTGGTGCTTGGTGTGGGAAACCCCGGCCCTGGTCCTCGCCAGGGTTCCTTTCGTTCCAACAATACGCACTCCCCCTCTGTGTGCCAGGCGGGTGCTGGGTACAGTGCCAAAGTTGGGTGCCATCCCTGCCCTCCCTGGAGGGCCAGCCACGGAGCTATGACCCTAGCACACGTCCTCTGCCCCATTCTTCTCAGGCCTCATTGCAGCCACTCCACAGGCTCGGACCCTCAGAAACCCTGTGCCACAGGTGTTTTGTGCCATCCCAGGGCTATGGGACCTGGGCCCAGAGAGTGTAGTGACCACTCACGCTCTCATGGCAAAGGGACGACAGGGCTGAAAAGGGGCCTCTGCCAGCCTCTCTCAAGTCAGGCTCCTCCCTGGTGTCCCCACGCAGCCCCTGACTGCAGGACACTCAGCTGGTTTGTCATGACATGCTCAGTGCCAATAAGGTGGACACACAGCTTCAGCTCAGATAGGCCAGTGTCTCTGAAGGTGCTTTGTGAAGTGTTGGCGCAGTGCTGATGGAGTTGTCATAAGTGCCACTCAGGTCCCCAGCACGATGGGGCGGTCCTACTCCACGACTTGCTATGGGGCCTATATCTGCGTAGCCTTGAGGACACAGGGGTGAATGAGGCAGGATGGTCTGGGCCCTTTGTCATCAGCCCAGGCCACAGCAGGAGGGATGGTTAGAGAGCCACTCTGAGCACCCTGCCAGAGGACCACCTTGTGTGCCTCAAGATCATGTCCACCTGTCCCCAGGTGAGCCTTTCCAAGAGCATGGCATTAAATGCCACCTACATTCCAGGCATTAGTGTCCAATGTCTGCTTGGTCCCTCAGGGTATGTGCCGGGGAGCCTGGTGGAAATGCTGGATCCCCCAAACCTGCTCCCCAGTCCTCCTCTTCCCCCTACTCAGGCCGAACACCAGGAGGGAGGCAGGCAGGGAGGGAGGAGGGAACCTTGAGGTTTCTGTGGGACACAGACAAATGCCTGCAGTGTTCTGAGCTTCAGCCCTTCCATCTCCGAGGTGGAGGTTCCATGCCCCAAAGTCCCGTGGGGAAATAAGCAATGACTGTGAAGTGCTCAGTTCACTGTGCTGCACGTGGCTGGTGTTCAAAGAATGGTTGTCCTTTCACCTTCCTCCCTTCCTCTTTATGTCTTATTCATGCATTCAAAAGCATGTGATAAACTCCTTTTATGTGTCATGCGTGCATTCCCTGGTCAGGAAGAGTATAGCCTCTCAAAGAACTGGTTTCCATCCACTCTTGCAGGAAGATCTGTTCTCACTCTGTTCGGATGGGAAAGAACCTCCTCCTGTCCCAGCCTTGTCCCCTGCCTGTGCACGAGACGCTGCTCAGCAACAGCCCCTGCCTCCTGTGCACTGACACAGCCCGCATGGCTTCTTGCCAACCTGAGTCCTAAAGAGTTTGTGCCTGGGAGAAATGTTAACAGACCTTTTTCCAGACTGTGAGATGATGGAGGGCAGGGACCTGGCAAGTGCATCTCTATATATCCAGCCCCAGCCCTGGACCAGCTCATAGTAGGTGCTCAGTAAATGATTGGATGGCTGCTCAGTAAATGATGGGTGGATGTTCATGCATAGATGAATGAATGGATGCATGCATGGGTGGGTGGATGGATAGATGGAGGACGGATGCATGGGTGGCTGGATGGATAGATGGAGGACAGATGCATGGGTGGGTGGATGGATAGATGGAGGACGGATGCATGGGTGGCTGGATGGATAGATGGAGGACGGATGCATGGGTGGCTGGATGGATAGATGGAGGACGGATGCATGGGTGGCTGGATGGATAGATGGAGGACAGATGCATGGGTGGCTGGATGGATAGATGGAGGACAGATGCATGGGTGGCTGGATGGATAGATGGAGGACGGATGCATGGGTGGCTGGATGGATAGATGGAGGACGGATGCATGGGTGGGTGGATGGATAGATGGAGGACGGATGCATGGGTGGGTGGATGGATAGATGGAGGACGGATGCATGGGTGGCTGGATGGATAGATGGAGGACGGATGCATGGGTGGGTGGATGGATAGATGGAGGACGGATGCATGGGTGGGTGGATGGATAGATGGAGGACGGATGCATGGGTGGCTGGATGGATAGATGGAGGATGGATGCATGGGTGGGAGGATGGATAGATGCATGGATGGATGGATGAGTCATGCAGGCATACATGGATGAATGGATGGATTCATGGATGGATAGATGCATAGATGGATGAATTCATGGATAGACGCATGGGTGGATGGATGCAAGAGTCATGCATGTATTCATGGATGGATGGATGATGGATGCATGGATTGCTGGATGTATGGATGGATGGCTGAATGGATGCATGAATGTATGGATGAATGGATGTATACATGGATGGATGCATTCATGGATGGATGGATGCATACATGCATAAATGCATGGGTGGACAAACATATGGATGGATAGTCAGATGGGACATGTGGTGGACAGGTCGTTGTTTCATATGGCCTCCCTGGAAGCCTGTGCTCTCCTGAAGGGCAGAGGCTATGTCTTGTTCATCTCTGAGCCCTCAACCCCTGACTCCTAGTGAGTGCTCTGTAGATTTTATTACACACACAGGGCAGGTTGACAGGGGCATGGCCTAGCACAGGTGGGTGGAGTGCCGGCATGGGCAGTTATGCTGATGGAGTGACTGGATGGAATGTGTGGGTCACCCCCGCTGGCGAGGCTTTCAGACTCGTTAACCCTGAGCCGTGGCCTCTGCCCTGCCATTGCTGCTCTCGAGTGCTGGGAGGAGGGGCCAGCATCTGCCATCTACATCCAAGGCAGAGGTGGTGCCAGGGCAACTACTGGAGCTGCCAGGGGAGAGTGTCCAAGAAGGTGAGAGGGGTTTCCACCTCCGCCGGCCCCACGTGGGTGGCCAGCCTGTGAGACTGCAGGGGAGAGCCCGGGACAAAGCAGGCAGGGCAGGTGAGGGCTCCACTGAGACCCTAGGCTGAGAGCAGGACACCAGGACACAGCCGTCCCTGTCCACTGTCCCTTCACTGCATTATTGTCACGCACCACGCCGTGCACAGCCCGGAAACAGCCTGTGTGATGAAAGCACGTTGGCGTGGGAACCGCAGGACGTGGGCTGTGCGTCTTCGGTGTCAGCTGTGTGCCCTGGGCGTGTGCTCACCTCTCTGAGCCTTGGCATCCTCATGTCAAGTGGGTGAAACAAACCACTTGGAGTTACTCTGCACTAAGTGAGATGAGGCGACTAGAGCACCTAGGATGGCCCCTGCCCCTGTGCTCTTGCCACCGTAGCTGTTGCGTGGGTTTAGGTGACGTGCCGTGTGCAGTAGAGACTCCTCGGACTTGGCCCTGCAGCCAGGCTTCCTGCCGCCGAGTGGCTCGCCCAGCAGGACAGCACCAAGGAGGAGAGGAGTCAGGCAGGGGTGGAGAGTACAGCCCCTCGTCCTAACACAGGTGCCCCAGGGCAGCCACTGTGTCCCCTCTCTCTGTGTCCCCAGGGCCCACTTTGCTCTTGGAGGTGTCTGTGGAGCTCAGCCAGCTGGCAAAGCTACCGCCTCTGTCCCCGCCTCTCCAAGGCTCGGGGCTCGCCTGCTCAGAGGCAGGTCTCGGAGGACACAGGCATTAGGGCCTCGGCATGAACGGGGGCGTGAGGGGTCTGCAGGGAGCTGTGTCTCCGCCCTGCGCCACGGGCTTTGCTGCCTCCGCAAGTCACAGGACCCGCGCCCGTGAAATGCAAGGAGGACGCCTGCTCAGCGTGCTCGCCCGGCCCCGGCGGGGACAGCCCTGCGCCCGCTGGCAGTGCCGCGAGAGGGGGTGCTCTCCTCTCCCAGGGCCGTAGCCCCAGGAGCACTTAGCAAGTCCTGGGGGCAGCATGGAGCTCTTGGTGAGGGACGGCCAAGAGCAGAACCTTCTGGAAGTGCTGAACTGGGCGTGTTGGCTGAGCAATGGGGATGGGCAGAGCAGCGGCGCAGGGCGGGGCCGGCTCACATCCCGGGTCAGCCACTCGTGGCCGTGCAACTTTGGGCCGGTCACCGTGCACCTGCATGTCTCCTGCACTGATTTTCCATGATCAAAAACAAACACAAGATGTGCAAGTCTTTTATGAAGGAGAAAGTCTTTTATAAACAGTACTGCGGCCAGAAGAATGCCAGCCGCTCCCGGGCTCCTGCAGGGCAGAACCAGAGGGTCCAACTGCCCCGGGAGCAGGTGGGCTCTCGAGGAGGCAGGGTCTCCTGGCTCCCAGGGCAGGACTGGCCACGTGGCCACCTGGGGTTCAGGGAGCTGCCGCAGGAAGGGCGTGGCGACTCCATTGCCGGGACCAATGTCAATCTTCTTTTCCAGGGCTGTGTCTGGGGTGGACGCCGACCCTGACTTGGTCCACATGGAGGCCCAGGACCCCAGTGGAGGTGAGCCCTGTGTCCTGGAGTCCCCTCGGCCCAGCGCAGCTCGGCCATGCTGTGTTCAATCGTGCGTCCTCCGCGGCTTGCCCTGCACGGCTGACCCCACTGTGTTGCGATGTGGCATAATTGCAAATGTGCTTGTTTCCAGTCGGGGATATTGAAGTCAGGGGCTCTGCTCCAGCGGACAAGTCTATTAAGAGGGCGATTCGTTCTGCCCCCGAGCATCCACTGAGTGCTTCCCGCGCTCCAGCCCCACCGGCTTGCGGGGCGCTGAGCGGGCGAGGGAGGGACAGGGCCTGGGCACACTGACCTGGCCGGCCTCGTGCCCCAGAGAGCCCAGGTCCTGCACGCTGGGGGGACGGAAGGTGCAGTGATGAGTGGGGGTGTCAGAGCCCCCTGCACAGGTCCTCTGTGTCGCCAGCCCCTGCCAGGAAGTGTCTGTCCCATGAGAAGAGAAGTGCTGGCGTCAGCTCCCAGCCCCGGACAACCACGGGATCGCGACAACCCGCTCCTGTTGGGCCACGCCCTGGCCAGCCCAGCCTGGGGATCCCGCCGGCATGCCGTCTGGCTGAGCGAGTGGCACAGCACTGGGGCCTGTGGTCCCTGCACCGGGCCCTCTGCTCCTCTCCTCTGGCCATTCCCCAAGCTCACCTTGCACCTCTCGTACCTGCTGGGGGTGCTCCCCATCTCCCCATCCCGGTCCTTTCCCACCACCCTTGCCTGCCCTGCCCCCTCCTCCGGGTCCCCCAGCATGCTCCCCTGGGCTGGGGCTCCTGTAGCGTCACCCGGTGTCCCTCATGGGGCTCCTGTAGTGTCCCCCCGGTGTCCCTCATGGGGCTCCTGTAGTGTCCCCCCGTGTCCCTCATGGGGCTCCTGTAGTGTCCCCCCAGTGTCCCCCCAGTTGCATTCGGGTGCGTGTGTTCCTGGCCCCTAAGCCCCTGCCTCTAACCCCTCTCCACGCTGCCCAGCCACCCTGGGCCATGGTCAAGACACACCCCAAAGGCGCTGTGGCTCGGTGTCCTTCCCTTGGCCCCTTTGGTCCCTGTGGCTAAACCCTTGTCCTGGCTCACAAGCTGGGCAGAAGAGCTTCCTCCAGGCCCGAGGGCTCCTGCCCCGCTGCGTCAACCTGCCCGAGCACCCCGGCCCTGGGGAAACAGAGCACATGGAGTAAACACAGCCGCTGTCTGGCAGCGCACGCATTTGGCTTTGCTTGGCTATAAATATCCGGGAAAGGGCAGAAGCATTTGCTTAAATTTAGGGGGAAAGAAGCATTTGAGTCTCACCGTCTCTACCCTGCTCAGGTGTGGGGGACTCCAGGAGGGTGGAGGAGCCGGGCTGTGTCGGGCACCGTGAGCTGCCCGCTCTGGCCCTCCCTGGGGAGGCGGCACGCGCCACTGCCCCACCACCCACCAGGTCTGCAGGGCTCGCCTCCGCGTGCACCTGGCCCAGAGCGGGCCCGTGGCAGCTGGTGTCATCCCGGGTGTCGTCCCGGGCCAGCCCTTTAACATCCAAACCCACAAACAGAGGCCCCTTCTCAGCTGGAGTCTGGATGTCCCCTGCAGGTTTTCGGTATGTCACCTGCCACATCCACAACTGCTCCAAGGAGACACTGACGGCCCTGTTCGCAGGCCCCATTGACCACGGCTCCCTGGCCGTGCAGGACGACTACATCTTCTTTAAGGTAAAGTTGCTTCCGGGGCTTTGGAAACTGGCGATAGGCGGCGTGGCGGCTGAGCGCCGGGCGGAGCGGAATCACCCGGAAAGGGGATGAGAAAACCGCTGCTTTACTTTCAAGTGCGGCTTAGCGGTACCCAGTTCCCGGCTGTGACGGGCTGCGGGCGCTCCCCGAGGCCCCCACACGCCGGCACCGAGGCTCAGGGACACAGCCCGCTCTGCCGCCCTCCCTCTGCCCACCAGGGGCCTCCCCACCGCTCGGGGGCCCGAGCCTAAGCCCACTTGGCCCCCCTTGGCTTCTTTGGTGACTTTGGGACTGATGAGGCCAATCCTGGTCATTGCCTCAGCCGCCTGGCACTGGTGTCCACACCCCAGTTACCAGGGCCTGCTGCCCGTGCCTCCCCTGCCTCCAGGCCACAAGCGGACCACCCTCGACACCCAGGTGGGCCGAGCTAATTCAGAAACTCTAGTAAACAATTGGTCATATGGCTTCTTGATCACCTCCATGGATAGGGAGCTCACCCCTTCCAAAACAGCCTGGCCTTCTCCTGGACTGCTCAAGCCAGTAGGACATTCTGGCCCCACCACTGAGTCTGTCTCCCCTGACTCCCAGCTGTCGGTCCCTGCTCTGCTCTCCAGGACCCGAGACACAGCTCCAAAGTCTCCCACCGAGAAAGCCCCGCGAGGGCAGCTGCTGGGTGCCCACTCCCCGGAAGGCCCCCCACGCTCCCAGCCTCCTCCCTGCCCCGTCTCGGCAACACTTCCTCCCCCGCAGCCCTCTCCACGCCGGGCGTGCGCCGAGCTAGGGCCGGAACAGCAGGGGCATCCGGCCTGCGCTGGAGCCAGCCAGACCGAGGCTCGGCCAGCGCCCGCCCTGCCCTCCAGCCCTGCCGTGTGCACGCCATCTGCTGGCACCCCGCCCCCCGTCCGTGCTGCTGCCTGTGCCGGCGGTGCCTGCGCCCTGTCTCCACTGCCCCATCCCCACTCCTTCTCCAAGACCCAGTCACTCACCGCCTCCTCCAGGAAGTCTTCCCTGAACTCTGCCTCCACTGTGGGGCCACGGCTGCCTGCTCGGAGCATCCTGGGCCAGGGCCTTCCCCGTCATAGCCTAGGCCCCACTGTGTCATTCTGTGTGGCTTACTCCCGTTGTTCCTGTGCCAGACACAGGCAAACCGAGGCAGGGCTCCAGGTCCACGCCTATTCTCCCAGTGGCCAGCGTTGTGTCTCTGCAAATCCTCGCTGAGCTCTGGAGCAAAGATGGCGTCAGCTTCCTTGGGGACCACGTCTCTGCTGAGCAGTCTCTGAGCTTCACGTGCTCTGGCCCGCCAGGGTCCCTGGCCTCAGAAGCCAGAGCGCACCTGTGCCGAGCAGGTGGCCCTCCCTCTGCGGCGAGGAGGGCGTGCACTCTGGGGAACCTGCGTCTGGGGGGTCAGTGCCCGCTGGTTGGGCGTGGCCAGGGGAGGGGACGGGGGCTGGAGGAAGCCGCTGGGCTCTGGGCGGTGCCGTCGGGAGGCGGGTCCTGCCGCACCTGGGTCAGTCTTACGGAGAGGGAGGGGCGTGGGGGGGCTAAGGCCACCTCGCTCGTCTCAGCCGGACGGGGCGTCTGGTCACCTGGGGCTTGGGCCGCGTTCACGTCTGGTCTGTGTTCAGACACGGTTGCGCAGAGGTCTCCATTTTGTCTCCCTCTGCCACGTCACAGAGTGGCCTTGTCTGGTGCTAGGTGACAGGTGACAGGCGACATTGTCCGTGAACTGGAGAAGGCCAGGCCCAGCGGCGCGCCGCGGCTCTAGCAGGGCAAGGTCCAGTGCGCAGCGTGCAGGGCGCCCTGGCCGCCGGGCCACGGCTGCGGCTCTCTCAACAACTGCACGGAAAGGCTGCCCCAGCCCCCCGCGGCCCCGCCCGCCCCTCCCGCCCCGGTCCCGCAGCCTGGGGAGCCCGTGCTGCGGTGGACAAGCCGCAGCTGCAGCCCCAGCCCCCGCACCGCGGAAGTGCGCCCAGCACGCGGGGACCGGCGGGGGCTTGCTGGCGGCCCAGCAGCCTGCAGCCTCCTCTGTTCTGTGCAGCAGGTCCCTGTGGCCTCCGATTCTGGGACCCTCTGTGGGCCTGCCCTGAAGGGCACTTCTGTCTCCGGGAGCAGAGGCCTGGCGCTGGGGCTGCCCTGCCGTGCCCGCCTAGGGCGCAGATACCCGCGTCACCCCATCCACGCTCCTGGCCACGGCGACAGCACGTCTCTCAAGCCCCCTCTGTGACAGATGCCCACAGACGACCTCACTCACAGAATTTCATGTGTTCGCAGCGGCCCATTTTACTGCAGAGAAAACTGAGGCTAAGAAAAGCAAATTGCCCTGCCAGTGACACAGCCGGCCAGTGACAGCACTGGGGGTGGGGCCCTCCAGCCTCCCCCCCTCACTGGCGGTTCCCCTCCCTGAGGCCAGCCGCCCCCAGAGGGGTGAGACGGCGCCCCGCTCCTCTCTGCGTGCCCTCGAATCTGAGCAGGCGGCCCTCAGGCACCTTCCAGCAGAGGCAGCCCGCGTCTCAAGTGTCTTCAGTCTGCCCTGGCAGAAGGAGCACTGGCGCGGGAGTCAGCAGAGAACTCAGCCCCTCCTCCGACGAGCGGGCGCCCGGGGCAAGCCTGGAGCCTACTACACGCAGTAGTAAGACGGAGTCGCAGGAAACTGCCCCGCCGGGGCCTCCACCGCCTCCCTCCCTTTGGCTGCCCCTGCCCCTTCCCTTGCCCTGTCCTCTTCTCCTCGTTCCCTGGAAAGCAGAGGCCTCTCTTCTCCTGCCTCTTCTGCTGTGACACCAGGAGACAAGTTTCTTGAGCTCTGTGCCTCAGTTTCCTCTGTTCATTATGGGATCAAACGAGCTGCCCAGGGTAAAGCACCCCGAATGGTGCAGCCGTGCAGCAGCCCTCAGGAAGTGTTCGTCTGGCTTTGCATGTCATGGTTTGGTGGTCACCTTTTGTGACTTGAGCTTATCTTTGGCCTGTTTCCTCCACCCGGCGACTCACCAAAGCACCCTTTTTAACAGGAGATCTGGGAAACAGATCTTTCTCCATCTTATTCCATAACTTGGATGCAGGGGAACAAGGAACTGAGAGAGCATGGGGAAAGAGGTTAATTCTAACTGCAGGAAGTAGAGGAACACTTCCCAAAGGAAGGGCATTTAACATAGGGCTTTGAAGGATGAATAGGAGTCTATCTGTTTCAAGCAGAACAGGTATAAGTAAAGGGGCATTTTCATCAGCTGAATACAATGTGTAGTTTTTCATTCATGAGAATCTGGCTTATCAGGAAATCAAGCCCCTTAAAAATGTGTTTCTTCCCTCTTGTTAGGCAACATCAACAAACCGGACCAAATACTACGTCTCTTATCGTCGCAATGAATTTGTCCTGATGAAGCTGCCGAAGTATGCATTGCCAAAGGTAAGAGTGGCTCCCCATTCTACCTGGCCCCGTGGCCAGAGCTTGGGCTTGCAGGTGTGGAGGTGCTCAGTGTCCCAGGTCATAATGGACAAGTGTGGCCATGCTCCTCCAAAAACTCTCCCCGCACACCTTCCATTCCAGCCAACCGAGCCCCTTCCAGCCTCAGATGTGCCCAGCCTCTACCTGTTTTAGGGCCTCTGCCAAGCTCTTCCCTCTGCCGGTTTTGTCTTTCACCAGAACTCTCGCACGTGTGATGTTTCAGGAGCATGTCACTCACTAGCGACCCTGCAGGCTGGTCCAGGCCTAGGTTTCTGCCCTCATTCCATCCTTCTTCCCGATGCCAGGCGCTGGGGACCCCGCTCCTGTGTCCACCCCTGCTCTTGTTGGCATTGCCAGGGGTGGGGACAATTTCTGTTTCATGCAGCCCTGCACTCCAGCCACCTAGTTGGGTGCATGGCACACAGTAGGTGCTCAGTTAATGCTACATCCTTCCCCTAGCCTGGGCGAGCAAACAGGAGGGATCTGGGGCAGATCTGCCGCACCCCGCCCCTGGCCCTGCCCCGGAGCCTCGCTCCACCACCCCACCCTGCTTGTATGTTATTCCCACCTCACAGAGGAGGTGAGCACGTTCGGAGAGGCTGGGGAGCCTGTTTGAGGCCACACAGCCAGTTAGACTCAGAAGCGGGTGTCAAACCCAGGCCCGAGTGAGTCAGCCCAGGCTTGCGTCACAGCCCCTCCAGGGGACAGTCGGAGGATGCGCTTCACAGACTGCTGCCCCACCTGCATAATTGAGAGACCCGGGCGGAGCCTCCCCTGCCTCCACGCGGATTCACTGAGCGCCAAACGTAAGCCAGACGCCGTGCTGCGGGCCGGCGCTGCAGCTGCGGCCAGCGCCAGGCCTCTGCGCTGCAGGGCTCCCCACGGACAGGCGGAGGCCGAGGAGACAGACACGTGTGCGAAGCAGCTGCAAGTTGTGGTTGGCTGTGCAGGGAGCGAGACGTAGAGTGACAGAGGACGTGTGTGCGTGTGTGGCTGGTTTAGGCCTCTGGAGGGGACGTTTCATCTAAAGCCCAAAGCACATAAGGTGGCTCTGGGAAGAGCAAGGAAAAGCGATTCCATGGAGGGCTGAGCACGAGCAAAGGCCCTGGGGCAGAGAGTGCACGTAGAGGACGCCACTGCCCTGGGCTTCCAAGCTGGGGGCTGTAGATTGTGATAAAGTCCTTGGGCACATGAGCTTCTGTGCTGGGGAGCCAGAGATGGGAAAAGTCCAGGAGGCCTTCTTAAAACTTCTCTTTAAGAAAAGAAAAATAGAAAGGAAAGGAAAGGAGCAAGCTTAGTAGACTGATTCCAGGCTCAGCTGAGCAAACTGCAAGCTAATGGCTCCAGCTCAGGCAATGGCAGCTGGCATCCCTGGGGGTGAGGGATTGTCTCAGATGGGAGAGGCTTTCTCTTGGCCCCTGGGCAGTGGCCTGGGGCTGTGCCATCAGAGGCCCCCCGAGTCTCGGGCCGTCTGTCCCAGCGTTGCAGAGGCAGGCGCACCGCTGGGGCCAGGCCCACGCCCGGGGCCGGCTCTGCCCCTCCCGCAGCGGGCGTGGAGCGGCTGGACCAGCTGCCAGGTCGTTTCCAAGGGCGTTCTGAGGCGCCCAGGGCCACAAGCCAGGACCTCTGTGACTTGGAGCGATGGCTCCCTGGGCCTCCGCGTCCCCGTCTGCAGGTGTGATGTCACAGGGTGTTTCTCGAAGCCGTCGGTGAGATTTGCAGGAAGCGCCATGGCGTGCCCCCACCTCGAGCCCCCAGAATGCATTTCACACGAGCTTCCTCCTTCCCCGACACCCACTCTCATGACAGGCGACTGTCAGCTGAGGAGACCGTGCCCTGCTCAGCCAAACCACACTCTTCTCGTGTGGACGTTTGGGCCGTTTCCATTTTCCATAGTTACCAACAGTGCTGCAATGAATATATTTGTGCCTGCAGGTATTTCTTTTTAATTCTCTTAAGTTAAAAGGCTAAGAAGAACTCTGGGACAAAGGACATAAATATTTGTGCAGCTTTGCTTTCTAAAACACTTCCACCCGACACCAGCAAGGTTAGAGTGGATCAGTTCCAACACAACATTGCCAAATTTTGCATTTTATCATTTTTTTGATCTCCTTCTATGTTAAAGGATACAAATGATACCCTTTTGGTGTTTTAATTTACCTATCTGTGAAAACTATAAAGGTTAAACAGTTTTTCTTATATTTGCCAATATCTTTTGTTTGAATTGTTTACTTGTAATGATTTTATTTAAAAAAAAATACTCAGGTTCCCTGAAAGAGGAAAAAAATAAAATAGGCCAAGGCTATAAACACAAAAGAGAAGAAAAATTCAAATAACTATCAATTATATAAAAAAAAATTTATAAAAAGGGATAAATGCAAATTTACCTTAAAGTAAAATATTCCTGTATTTGGAATAATGCATTTAAAGTCAATTGATATCCACAGACCACAAGAATAAAGGAGGAAGTGACATCAGGGACGATGGCGGAGGAGAAAGCACCAGGATCTATCTGCCCCCGACAGCAACTGCACTGGCAGAATCTGTCCGTGTGATTATTTTGGAACTCTGAAGTCTATTCAAAGGCTTTCAGTTTCCAAGTGATGGCCTGGATGGCATATCAAGGTTAATTTTGACATCGCAGCTTCTGTGGCCATGAGAATTTCAGCTCTTAGCCCGGTGAAGGCCACCCACGCCCCACCCCAGCCCTGCGGCCCGCGCTCCCGGGCGGCCTGCACCCGCGTGCAGGAGCCAGAGCGGGCGTGAGACCTGTCCTCCCGATGCCAGGGCTGTGCTGTGAGTGTTGGTCGCTTCTGACCTGCCTGCACAGGTGCAGACACACAGGCGGGCACCATGTCACAGCCACCACTAGCTGAAGTGGCTTCCAGGGCATTTAAAGGGCCAGAGCCTATTTTTATCCCTTTTAGTTTCCCCTTTTGGGAGCCAGACATTAAAGGACTAGTACAGTGAAAAGCAGCCACATATATGGGGGATTAGCACAGTCACCATGCGTGCCCAAGGAAAAGCGCAACTGAGAAAGGCGATCCTTGGTACAGAGACAGCCTACAGCAATCGAAAATAAAAACAAAAGATGGCAAGCTCTGCAGAAAGAGGACAAGCTAATTACCAGAGTTACCATATTATTACATGAGACGTTATATTCAGATGTCCAGATTTTGCCCTAAAATAAGTTATGAGGCACACAAACATGCAATCCAAGGAAAAAACCAATAGAAACCTTCTCTGAGAAAGACCAGATGGCAGACCATCTAGACAAAGACTTTCACACACGTGGTCATAGAACTAATGAGAAACACAGATAAAACAAGAAAATGATGTATGGACAAAATGGAAATAGCAATAAAGAGATAGGGAACATAAAAATGAACGGAAAAGAAATTCTAGAGCTAAAAAGAATAATTGAGAATTATTTGAATTCACTTGAGGGGTTCAAAAACAGATTTGAAAGGCAGAAGAAAGGATCGGGGAACTTAAAGTCAAGGCGACTGAAATGATCAAGCCGAAGGCACGGAGAGAAAGAAGACTGATGAGAGCGAATGCCGCCCAAGAGGCCTTTGGGCAGCACGAGGCAGACCACACGCGCGGCGGGAATTGCAGAAGGAAAGTGGAGAGATGGCGGAGAGATCATTTGAAGACGTAATGGCCAAAAACGTCCCCAAATTGATGAAAGACGTCAATATAAATATCTAAAAAGCTTGCCAAACCCCAAGAAGGGCAAACACAGGAGACCCACACAAGACACATAATCAACCTGTCAAAAGACAGAGACAGAGAGAGGCCCTGGAGCGCAGCGGGAGAGAAATGACCTGTCGCGACGAGCAATCCTCGGTAGGACGGTCAGCAGGCTGCTCACGGGAGCCCCGAGGCAGCAGGCCGTGAGCTGACAAGCTCCGAGTGCTCAAAGAATTTGCTGAGGGTGTTCTGTGAATTGTATATAAATGTCTACGGCGAAATTTCGCTGTCATGTCTAGTACAAATGCTTTTAAACTTTTCTGAAATTATTCCTTTCAAATGCATTCACTATAACTAATAGAATAATATATACAAGTGCCATTATAATGCAATATAATATTATAAGATATAATACAATTTCCGGCTGCCTCTTCATTCCTACTTCCCTGACTACCTCACTTCCTGGAGGAAACTCCTGGGAACTCTGGGTATCTATTCTGCCCCTTCGTGCTAGTTTAACCAACACCGAACTTTAGCTAGTACCTTGTTTCCCAGCTTCCCTTGCAGCTACATGTGGTCACGCTTCTAGAATCTGGCGGATGCGATGCTAGCAGAATTGTCCTGTGTGACTTCCCAGATCCCTCTATTGAAGGCCAGCCTTTCTTCCCCTCCTCCCTGCTGCCTTGCATGTCAGTGTGATGGCCGGAGCCCCAGCACTCATCTCAGACCGTGAGGACAAGAGCCACATCGTGAGACAGGGGCAGGGAGTGGTGACCTGGAAGAAAGGAGCCTCTGTCCCTGTGACTTTGTGGCACTTCCAAGCTGGACTATCTACTTCCAGATTTCTTTTACATAGGAGAGAAATGAGCTTCTACCTTATCTCAGTGGCCTTTTTTTTTTTTTTTTTTTTTTTTTTTTTGCCTGATTCTTTTAAGCAAACTAGAGTGAGTGCCGTAACAAATACTGGGAACCTTGGTGTTTCCTTCCACATATTTCTCCAGGCGAGAACCAGGGCACACAAAGATGTACAATCACATATCCATATATGTGGCCGCGCCGCTCCCGTCTCCCACCGCGCGCCCGCGCGGGCGCTGCTGGGTGCCGCTCCCGGCAGGCCCCTCCCCGCTCCGCCTCCTCCCTGCCCCGTCTCGCAACCTTCCGTCCCCCGCCAGCCCTCTCCCGCCGGGCATTCGCCGAGCTCGGGCCGGACAGCAGGGCATCCGGCCTGCGCTGGAGCCAGCCAGACGAGCTAGCCAGCGCCTGCCCTC